ATACTTTTGTAATATTTTTTTCGATAAACCATGGTTATATTTTACCATTTTGGGGGGGGGGGCTTCAGCCGGAAAGCTCCCCCCGTAGACCTGCCCGTGGCTATTGCTAGCACAATCATAATACATTCTTTTTTTAAATTATGATGCATGCACAACTACTAATTGTAAGGAGAAAAAAAAATCACTAAGAGCATAATTGCTGTTATATATATTTAAAAAAAAAAACCTCTCAAAATTAAACCCTCAATTTGCTACTATATGTGACTACCACAAGATAGTCTAAAGAAAATTAATCTTATCAGAGTTTATTCAATACTTTGAAAAGTAGTAAAACCAATTTTTTGTTTTATGGCAAGTTGGTGTTAGTAAACCTATTAGAGATTTAACATCTTTGATTAAAATTAAATGTGAGGGCACCATTATATTCATTGGACTGTAATATAAACCAAAGTTAATTGTTTTTATAATGGTGGAGACATAATTGTCAGTAGATCATTTAGTAAAAGTTGGTTGTAGATGGAATCAAAGGTGTCAATGTACACAAATAAAATAATTTTATGTACATTCACTTTTGGCTGCAATCAAAGCCAAATTCTAGTACTTAATTATTTTCATATTCTTAATTAAACTAGGTAAATATTACATCACCAAAACTCGAGTCTGGATTTGTCTCTATACTGATAATGGATAAAAAATACATATACAGAAAGAAAAGTTACAGACATTACAGGAAAGTTTAAAGATACACACACACGTATAAGTATAATTATATATATAAGTGACCGCCCAACAGGGAAAGCTACGCTGCTCAAGCCTCTTCCCCCTCCTAGATGTAAGACCCCTCAGTCTAGTGGATGCAACTCTCACCGACTGTACGTAGGTCTGATGACCCTACCCCATGTACTTAAATAGGGTATCGGGATGTGATGTACAAGGATCAGTAGCCCCTCTGAGCTTTGGTACATGGGCAGCCTGTTTCGAGAAAAGAAATACAGGTTCTCTTGCACCTGCTGGCCCTGAGCAGCCATAATCTACGGATCTAGACTGATTCGTCATTGTCCTTAAACCAGAGTGAGTCGGAGTGAAGGACATTGCCAGATTGGCCCCAAAGGGATCGGCTATGGAGCTACGGTTGGGTGACCCCCTTCAGGCTATTGGTGCTCCTGCAAGCAATATATAGGTCTGTAAGGAGACCACATCTTGAGGCCAAAGATTTTCGTGGTCTAAAGTGCCAACTGAAAAAAAAGCTTCTTTACATTATATATATGTATGTATATGTGTATATATATATATATATATATATATATATATATATATATATATATATATATATATATACACACACACACACACATACATCTAGAAATGATAAATTGGAACGAAATATTAGTAAACCTTAAGTTTAATGAACAAATTTATTTAATGAGTAAACCAGCAGTGCGGTAAGGAAAAACCTGATTTTACCTGTTTAAGTAGAATAATAATAATGCGGATGACCATAAAGTTTTATTGAAATAAATTAAATAAGCCAATAATAAGTGTGAAGACAGTGCAAGTTGGCTGAAATGTGCAGGTAGCTCTTGATTTTGGAAGTCAAAATATGACTTCTGGTAGGTCAGAATCATTATCCTAAGTCAGAATCATTATCACCAAAGAACTACCAAAACTTTGACATTCATATCACTGATTTGCATATTAATAACAGATGATATACAAGAGTTGCGGTAAGAGCTGCTGATTTGAAAAAAAAACATAGATAAAACATCAACATCAAAAGAATGACTATATTTTATTATTATTGATTGTAAATAACTATTCCAACTGAAAAATATGGATGAACATTTCTAGATAGTCATTTTCTTACTTTTTTTTGGATAACTTTCATATGAAGAATTATTATTTATATTCAATTTAATTACTGTTGCTGATGTTATTGGAAATTGATAACCTTTTAATTAAACTTTGTTTTTAATCAATTATTTTTTAACATAAATTTATTGTATTATACACTTTTTTGTTTGTTAAATAAAGTTTTGTAATTAAATTTGCATTTTCCTATGAAGAGGAACATTTAATTTTGTCTTGAATTCTCATGTGATACGCCTAGTGATGTGAATTGCGGTAGGAGTTCACAGTGAATCCTTATCTAAGATCATGCTTATAAAAGCATTGTGAGATAATAATATTTACTCTGGCTTCATTAGTAATAATGTTGATATAATTTTACTTTTCTAAAGTATGTGTACTCGATACCTTTGGGATTAAAATATGAAAAAATCCATAACAAGTCAGTGGCATGTCTAAAATAATCTTTCTAAGTGAAATAATAACTACACTATTTACTAATAGTACACGATTAGTGTAAAATATTTTTGTTTTGATAAGCGTCCTTATCAAAACTTAAAATTTTTATATAAATTATGGTTAAAAAACGTTTTTATACATACTATAAACTAGACATTTTGAAGATACGAGACGAGATAGCACCTTTTAGCCATTGATCTATTGATTTACTGTAAATATTTACAAATCTTCTGGAAAAAGTTAATTTCCACTTACTTGCCTTATGATAATTAGTCATTTGGTGAATCTTATAAACATATCACCAGCACAAATCAGTTTTATAATAAGGTAAGTATATGATTTCAATAACAATTTACAATAAAAATTTATTTAAGTAAAAAAAAGGAAGAAAATGAAAACACAATGTAAAAACAAGGAAGAGATAATCAATTGACAGAAGATAATTTGGAATGTAATATTAATTCAATAAAAAAAAAAAATAACAAGAAAAACTCAATATATAACTAAATCCATTCAAGTCCATATTAATTTTATACAAGTCCAAAGTTTTATAATTAAGAAGAAAGTACTAAAGTACACATTATTACAACCTAATGGACAAAAATTTACCAACTTTTTATTATTTACAAGTAAAATTATTACATCACTATTTGGTGTGCCTTTGGCCAATAGAGAGGTCATAGGTTCTAGAAACATGACAGCATTAATAAAAATAAATGCACCACTTCATTAATAAAACGGCCATTTTATTATAACATAGGTCAGATATAAGTAATAAAATTATAGAAGTCAGATCCAAAAGGCACCAGATGAAATAAGCTGAATTCAACAAAAGACATTTAATGGGACTGTCATCGCCCATGATTCTATCCAATCAGAATGGTTTAACAGCTTCTAATGGGAAATCCTCAGAGTACTATGCAAAGGAATTATTTGTATACAGAAAAATAACAACATAAAATTGAAAAAATTTGTAACTAATCGCATGACTTATTACAAATAAAAAATTAAATTTACATGCCTGATTTAATCCTAAAAAAAGAAAAGTCCTGAGACCTGACACAATATTTTTTATGTTTTAACACTCAGAGTTTAAGATTTCAAAAGTCATGTACAAATTAGCAAACATAAATTTCACTGCATTCCTTTCATACATATATGAGGAATAAAATTTATATTATTTACTATTTTGGAAATACATCGGCATTGAGAGAGAAAATTGTCAAGTATAAAATGTAAATAAATGTTATATTGAATATTTAATAGTTGACTGTTGCATAATAAAGGAGATGGCCTGGAGTGGTGGTCATAAATAGGCTGAATAATGGCAAAACTTATAAACAGTTTATAATTTTAATAAGCTTATTCACATTGTTTATAATTTTTTGTCATAATATTATGTAACTTCCATAATTCTCTATCTTTTTGTATCTTGTCCGTTCTAGCCCTGAAGGAGACCTGCAGAGTCGGGTCGAAACGTTGGATTTTAATAAAATAGTTTTGCCACTATTCAGCCTATTTATGACCACCACCCCGGAACATCTTCCTAAATAAATGTTAATGTGTAATGATTTTCTATTTTTATCATCAATATGAACAAAACACTGATTGTTGTATTTTTGTAAATAAAATATTTATTTTAATATAATTACTCCTTGTTATTTGAGTGGCCTCACATCAAAGACAGAAATCTGTCATTTTCAGAAAGCGGAGAATAAGTCAATGTTTATTTTACAGATTCAATTCAAACTGTTTCTGATGATTTTAATTAAGTATTTTCATGTTGAATTATGAAAGAAAATCATTATAATTAGATTAAAATGAAGCAATGTTCCAGAAAATTGTTTTATTTTTTCAACTTCTTAAAAATGAGAGATGTTCGTCTTTAATATTAACTCTCTCACTTGTTTCTTCATGAAGTGGAATTTGATGACTGAAAATAAATTGAACAAAATAAATTTACAAACTAATCGGGTAACGTCACCAGTCTCTCGGTAAGACTTTTCTTCACCTGGTATTCATAGAGATAACAATATTGCGTGCCTATGTGACATTGTATGTTATATATTACAATATGAGTATTTCCTTATATTAATAAATTAATCATTTTTCATAATATTCTTCCAACTGATTAACCCATTTAAATTTAATCATTTTTTTTTTAATTTATTATTTTTCTCTAAATGTGACAGTTACTTTATATACCTCTTTGCTTGAAATGATTATAAAAGTAAATTATTTGTTTTGTTTTTTTAAAAACTCATTGGTACACCAAATTCCAATAAAAACATTTGTAATTAGTACAAAAAAAAAAATTATATTTAGTTCCTTTTGGAAATGACATACCTAATCTTTTTTACTTGCAACTTTATTTTTTGAAATATTAGAAATATCTGCAAAAAATTAATAATAATTTATTTTGCCCAGTTAAAATAAATTGCTAAAACATTTCAAATTCAGTCCCATATAACTAACGAATAATAAGAAAGGATCTCACTAACTGGGTAACTGATTCATGAATAAGGAACTGAATAGCTTTCATTAATTACAATCAGGTACACGTGAGTGGACTACAAAGCGATACCACCTTATACAGCACAGTACAGTTGGTTCCGAGATGCTGGTAGTTCAGTTCAGCCTTATAAAGCTACGCAAGCTAATTCGTGGGACAGGTGGTTTCAAAGGCTTATAGTTATTTCCCCCCCCCCTCTTTCCCTTCCCATCTCCAATAGTGTAATCTTAGCAGAATAGTCTCATTCGCCTGTAGAGAATAATCAAGAAGCATGTTGTTTCTTCTATGTAGGATACGACGGATGGGGTTGGGATGCATCCCTTGAACTGCAACCTCTCTGGGCATTCTTAATTGCAAGCTGTTGCTTCATCAAGTCTTGAAGTTGTTCTAATTCTTTCTGAAAAATAAAAATAGGAATTAAAAATTATAATCGTTACTTACGATATTAGTGATAGTGTAAAACATGTTTTCGAAATTAATGCACATAAAACAGTTTAAAAACATAAGTATTGCAAACAGAAGAAAATCACGCTTTACCTATACAGTTAAAATTAGACTGTACAGTTTTGGAACAGAATAAAATCAGCCTATACAAAATTTTAAAACTTATGGAACAATATTTTACAACTTTAACACGGTCTCATATGTATTTTTCATGTCAATTTCAAATCGCATTTTAGTTTTTTCTAATCATCTAAGGTTTTTATCCAAATCATTGAAATTTCTTAAAAAGAATTATATTTTTTTAAACAGAAACAAAATTAATATTAAGTTTTGTCATAAACCAACAACTGCCTGTCCTACAGTTCCCTTTAACAATACTCCACTTATCCCTGTTGAGCAAATCCGATACCTAGGACTCCACCTGGACAAGCGACTAACTTGGAATACTCATACTAGACTGAAATGACAAGAAACCGCTTGACGTTTCCGATTACTTCAGCACTTACTAGACAAATGCTCTAAACTTCCCATTAATTACAAAAGACTCATATACTTGACTATAATAAGACCTATTTGGACTTACGGAGTTGAGCTATGGGGCTCCACTAAAACATCAAATTCCTCTCGCATCGAATCCTTAAAATCCAAAATCCTTCGTAAAATCCTCAATGCTCCTTACTTTGTCACTAACAAAATTATCCATAAAGATCTTAATGTTCCTTATGTTTCAGTTCTGGCCCAATCCAGATACCTATCCTTCCATAATAAACTTCAGAATCATCCCAACCCTCTCGTTTCTAACCTTGCTTCCTCTTCAATTCCTGATAACCCTCCGAGGCGTCTGAAAAGAAGATGGCCCAGTGATTTCCTAATGTAGTCATATCATTAGAGTGCTACCATTGGGTAATTACTCAGCAAGTGTATTCATGTCATTATATCTATTATGTCCAAATTTACTAGATGAATTTATGCAATACAGTTGTATATGTCATTAAGAAATAAAAAAAACACCAATACCAAACACCATAGATCTCACACCAACTTTCCCACACTATACCCAAATGACCACTCTATCACATTCTATTCCTTTGTTATTTTCTTTTTTTCTTTTTTATTGATTAAACCCTCTCCTGGAATCACCCTACTTCTCACATCTACTTACTATATACTGATGGGTTCTACAGTCTGAGTTATGGTCTATACTCAAATCTTCTTTTCTACTTAATTCTGATGGGTGCCTGAACATTGGCACACAATTAAATAAAAATGTATTATTCTTTTGTGATTTCATTTACAGTTGCTGCACCCCAACCAACTTTTACTATCTTACCTATGGTCAACAATATCTCTATGTTTTATTTATGCTGCTTTACTTTCTCCTTCAGTGTGAAATGTCTTTCCAAAAAAAGATTTTTAACAATTCTTTGACAAAATCTTTGGAAAGGAATTTTGACTTAAGGTTGTTAGGTGTATGTACAATCAAACTAAGCAATCTATGACTCAGTTCCATTTAACAAACTAAAGAGGTGGCATATCCAAGTGTTCTTGGAGTGTTCGGTAGAACTTGTAAAATCAATGGCTAATGTATGAATAGGGTTTACATGATATTAATATTGGACTAATACTCTCCTTCCTATCATGATATAAAATCTAATTATTATCATGAAGAGAATAGTTGGGGTCATCAGTCAAATTAGAAGGCAAAAATAAATGATACTATTTATTTTTACATTAGCCGACGTTTCGACCTGAAGTTCAGGCCATCATCAGGGCTAAGAAAAGAACCAGATAACAAGGTATGAGAAACATAAGTAGTGTAGGTAAAAAAATTTAAGTAAAATTCAGTTGTTAGAATAATGACAACAGTAAGAACAAAGAGATAAATGATAATAAGCGATACAAAGTGAGGAATGATGAAGTAAACATAATAAAAAAAGAAAAAGGTGACATAAGTATTAAAATGGGAATCTTAGAATAAAATGTAAAAACAGAAAAATATGAAGTTATATAAGAAATGGAAATAAGCCGTAAAATTAAGATATTGTGAATAGAATAGTTAGATAGAAAATTGAGATGTTGTAAAGTCTCAAGATGTATAGACAACATATAATATAATACAGAGTTGAAACAGAGCAGAGGGATGAAAGGAAGGAGGAAAGAAACTGAGAAGGCTGAAATAAGAAAGAGAATAAGAAAGAAAAAGAAGAAAAATTACTAATTATTATCAATATAATCTGACCTTTTCCATTTCAAGGTTATGAATGTCATTTTGTTGAGATTCTGTGGACAACCGATCGCTTAACTTTTCTATATTTCTCTTGATGTAGGCCATTTCAGTCTGTACTTTTAAATATTCCTTTGCCATCTGTGAAGACATTAAATATTTAAATGAATAAAAAATGAAAATTAGACAACAAATTAATTATTCACTGTAAAATAAATCTCTTATAACTTGATATATAACTGACTTGATATAAGAAAAATCTACTGTAATTAACTTACAGAAAACATCAAAATATCTGAATAGTTGATTATAAACTGATATTATCAAATTATGGAAACAATGTAATAGTTAGTCCTGGATGCACACTTGTACCACAATTTGTAGTTGTTGTATAAAAAAACAAAAAATGACTTTTTCAACTAAATATTTGTATTATCATTTCTTTGATATAAAATACAATTAATACTCAAAGTATAGTCCATTATTATCTACCGTCATTAACCATCAGCTAGCCAATTGCTTGATCCCACTCTGATAACATTCTTTGGGATGGCTGTCAAAGAACTCTTGGATCTTCTGCAACTTATCAAATTTTTTCCCTTGAAGAAAATAGGCCATGGCTCTAAATAAGTAGTAATTTGATGGTGCGAGGTCTGGACTAAAAGATGGATGAGGCAAGAGTTCGAGCCCATGAAGTTCTTTAATTTAAACTTTTCTTTGGTTCGACGGGAAGTATGAGGAAGAGCATTATCTTGTAGGAATAAAATTTCTTTTCGATTGATCAAAGCAGGATAACGCTCTGACAACTTTGTGTACAATCTTTCCAGTTGTTCGCAGTAGAGTTCAGAATTCATAGAGCATCCGTCAGGAACAAATTCATGATGAATAACACTTACAAAATTCCTTCTTGCAGAAACCGGAAAAGCAGTTTGACAGCGATCTAGCCATTGCTCACGGGTATTCGGATTTCGCCAGTAAACTCACTTTTCATCACAGGTAACAATCTTCTGATAAAATCTCATATCAGAAGGGTTTTTTCAAAAAATGTTCACAAATTTGTAACCTCTTAGCTGATTGTTAAGGAGTAAGTTCGTGAGGGACTAGTCTACTGCTCTTTTTCAACTTCCCCATGGAGAGTAGATGGCGACTAACAGTATCTTTTCATACACCAAACTCCCTGGCAAGTTTGTGAGTACTTGTGGACGGATTTGACTCAACAGCTTCCAGCAGAACCTCATCAATATCCATTAATGGTCGTCCGGAGCCCTTCTTCCTTTTCAAATTCGTATCTCAACTGCTAAATTTATTAAACCAATGCCAGGCAAGGACGCCTTTCCCTTCATATTTAATAATTTCATGAGTTGCTTCAGCGGCTATGAAATGTTTTTTTCAGTAATCCCTTAAAATTATGAGAATTTCGTAAAACACTGTCATGTTTCTTCTTTGAAACAAATAACTAAACTGAGGCTTTTTTTGAAGTAGTCGAATGGGATTAAACAAGCTTAGAGAATGCTCTAAAGGGATTATTAAGTATTGGTAAGCATTAAATAGGATTAAAATATTTATATTCCATTCAAATCGTTAATTTAATAAAACTGTCATTTTTTTTTTTTTTTTAGACACCCTATTATTATAATGGAATATCTTCTGAACAATAAAATATAATTTCTTTTGAAATCAGCCAAATAAAATTTCAATTAGAAGTGAGGTATACTTGAATGATTCAAAATAATAATCTGGCAGAATCAGAAGAGAAGTAAATTTCACGAATTCTTTTTTTCATTACAATATAGAAAAAATAAATTATAACTAATCTCCTTAGCTTGTAAATTAGTAATGGAAATATAGGTAACTAATACTAGCATAACTGTGCATTCAGTATGACTATATTATAATTTTTTTTTATAAATATGTTACTGGGGATGGGAGGAGGAGATATTTTTACTGGAATTTGTTAATCATCAATGTTTAACTTCATCATTTGATATTGATTTAAGCGCATGCAAAAATAAAAATAAATTTAATTAATTAATACTTTAATAAAACAAAAAAACTTAAGACAGGTCTTTGACAGTTGATAATGTAAAGCAATAAAAGTAAACCACAAAAAACATATTATTAAGATTTAAAAAAAAAAATTCAATAAAGAATATGTTAAATTAAGTTGAAATAAGATAAGCAATCGGATTTTCTTACTTTAACATGATCCTTAAAAATTGCAACAGAATGTTCATTTGTCTGATCGGGACTAACCGGTCGAAGTTGTGGGTCTAACATTTCGTAAACTTCTGTTCCCAATTCACGGTCGCACAAATCACCTGTACACAAAGAACAAAGTTTAAAATATACCGATTCAGCTTAAAAACTAATAATTGTAAATAATAATAAAGAGGCATGTTAAAATCTAAAAAAAAAAATTAATAAATAAGTAATGATTTTTACATCTTCTAACCTCTTCACATTCAATCAAATTCAACTCATTTAATAAAAACCCTACATGTTCAAGAATTTTCATATTTTTATTTTGACTAAATTAGTTATAACAATATAAAGTGCCAAGGTCCCTGGGAAGAAAATTGTTGTTCAAGAGGGGATCCGCAGACAACGTAAGTTTAAAAATCTGTGTAATGGATCGGACCCAGGGACACGCCCAGTCTCTAAAAATGGATACTTTTAATTAGATAATTAATTAAGGGAGAAAGAAAAACCTGGTGGTTAAGCGTGATCCTGGCCCGATCACCTCACTGCACAATCGTTGGCTTTGAAATATTACTTGTTAACAAAGTACTGAATCCGAAACTCTTCATGCGTTGCAGTGGTACAGGTAGTTTTTTTTTTTTATGGCTTTATACTCCCTGGATCCTCTATGCCTCAAAAAATAAGAACCTGTATCTTGGTCAAATGATACATCAGACATTTAAACCACACTGTCTCCAAAGAATACTAGAGCAGCTAGATCAAGCTAGAACAACTCAGACTAACGGAGTTATCTCTTTGTACGTTGTGTGTGTGGTCAGGAGGATGAAACAGCATATCACATATCACTTGTTGGTGCGACAGGTTTGGTGAGTTAAGATTACGTATATTCGATAATGGTAAGATGTCTGACCCAAGATTAAGGAGCTTGTCAATCCGACAAGCCTACATCAGTTAGTAGAAATTGGGCGTTACAACAGGGCATGGGAAAATAAAAAATAAAAAAATCCACAACTAGAGCAAAGCAATTTTTAAATTTATTTTTTGTTCTAAATTTACAATGATGAATTCCCAACTAACAAATTATCTTCATAATATAGTATCAACTATCGCACATAATTTTATTATATCTGTTTCATAAGAATTATAAATCTAATAATTTTTATCATTTATAATATTTACAATTTATAATCACTTGCGATCAAATTAAACAATCAAATGAGGACATATAACATTTTTAGAAAGTGGAGATAAATTCAATTTTTGTTTTATAGGTTCAACTAAAACTGTTTCAGATGATTTTATTTAAGAATGCTTAAGTTGAATAATGAAAAAAAAAAAATTAGAATTGGTTTAAACTGAAGCCTTGTTACAGAAAATTGGCTTATTCTTAACTTTTTAAAAATGACAGATATGAGATATTTGATATGAGGCCATTCAATTTATAAAATTTAAATTAAATTAATTAAAAATTATTAATATTTATCAATTGTAAGTAATTTCGAGAGGTTTTCAATAAAATTCAACTTATCTCGGACCTACAACTTGTTCCTAGTTAATTGTCAATAGTTCTCAAGTCAATAGTTTGGGAAAGCATTAATAAAATACAAATGAATGTAATATTATATTATTAGTCTAACTAAGGTTCTTGTTTCTATAAAATTCTTCTAATAAGAAAGTTTTTTCATTAATTCATTTTTATAATACTATGTTTTTTTATTATTTTTTTTTTTTTATTTTTTTTTTTTAGGAAATAGTTAAATCTTTAAAAGAAATTATCAGTCCTTCATTGGGATAGAAAACATTTAAGAACTCATTTTGTAAAGCAAAGCAATTTGTATGATCAACATTGAAATGTAATATCATTATTCGTGTAGAACAATTGGTCCAAATTTATATTTAAAAATTAAAGTTGTGTTTTAATATTTTATTGATGAGTAATTAATAAATAGCTGTGTTCATTAATATGTTTTAATTAATGTCAGTTAATCAAACTATAATAACAAAAAATTATAATTCCACTATATATTATTGTTTTTTAAATGTCCATTTTTGAAAAGCTTATAATATCGTAAGAATAAATATTAACTGAAAAGTTAATTTTCACTGCAAAAAACAAAGCTGCTAAGAAGGCCAACAGACATGTCAAAAATTTATTCTATCACTTTTTACTGAGTTTTGTATTTAATTTGCAAATTTTTAGAACTTTTAGTTATCCTTTCAAGTAAGCAGCCTTTTCTATTAAAACTTAAGTTATGAATCATGATATATGAATAGATATAAACGATAAAAATAAAGTATGGCAAAGTGAATAGAACTTTAGGAACTAAACACAAAAAATTAATATTAAAATAATTATTAATCCTGTTTCATTCTGGATAAATGATATAATCAAAGAAAACAAAAAAAATCAAAATTAATATAAAAATTAATGTACCTAAAATAATTAATAAAATTCAGAGACCAAATAATAATATATTATTAATAAAATAAATATATATATTTATAAACAAATTAAAATATTTAAATATATAATTATATACAATTTTATAACTTACTGCTGTAAACATAGACAGTATTTGTTTCTAACGAATACCACTTGAACTCACACATTGTGTTAACTGCCAGAGCTGAGAAGACACTAAATCTGTTTGCTGACTCACCGGTACCAACTTAGGCCACGACCCTCCTCCCTTCCCCCTTGCCTCGCTCTCAACAATACTTTCAGCTTGTATTTATATTAGCTTAGATAGTAATATCATCATTATCATATTAATTAATTTAATATTTTATAAAATAATAATTTTTATAATAATTTACTAAATTAATCGTATTGAAACAAGTACAATTATTGAATAGACTGAGACTTAATATACTTAATTAACAGAGTTCTGTAATAAATACAAACATAAAATAAAATAAAGAAAAAGAAAATTTTAAATATTAAGAATAACAATAATGAATAGAAGTAAAATTAGTGCAAACATTTATTCAACCAATTAAAACTATCTGACATTTAGACGCTAGACAAGGAAAGGATGCGAAAATAATTAGCTTTTAAATCATCCGAATAATTAAAGAAATTTCATTTTAGACTAGATAAACACATTGGAGTACAATAGTCGGGAATATTGTTGGTAGCCTGCCAAGGAACGGTTGACAAGTTTAAGCAACTGCGAACTCCCTGCCACCTCTTCCTGCCTTCTGAGTCATCCACAACTGCTATGATTCATTTAAACGTTTATTACGCAATCGCAAGGAATATCACCTCTTTCAAATTTTAAATTAATTATCCAATTATGCCATATTATATGATATTATGAAATGCACGGAAATTGGCACATCAAATTATTAAATGGGCTGTAGCATGGAAAGTTGTTTATTTCTTTTAATCTTTCTAATTAATACAAATTAGTTAGAAATACATGCTACTTTTTAACAGGTTGTTATCAGTATGATATTTAGATTTTAAGAGCATCATGCATCATAGCAGCCTTCACAATGTCCAACTAATAATCATTTCATACATAATACATTTTAACTGTAAAAAAAGTTGCCATTGAAACATGATTTGGTATTTGATAATTTATTTCTAAATATATTACCTTAAATCATTCCTCATCAATCCAGCCCCATAAAACAGTAAATAGATATTACGGTATTATTAAATGATTGAAGTTAAAAAGTAATTTATACTTTTTTATTATGACTGTTTATTTTCTTCGTGATTATTTTTTTTTGTATCTCTGAGGCTCTATAGTGCAGATTTCTGTATATAAGGGACTCGTCCCAGAATAAATAAAGTATTATTATTATTAAAGCACTGCTATAAAGTCGTGAATTTAAAAAGTGGAAAATTGAGCCCCTAGTCTATTCATAAAAGATCTAAATGAATTTGGTTTTTTATTTTCTTTTTTCCATGATCATTAAATTTATTATAATTCATCAAATTTTATAAAAGTTGATATTGAACAGGAGGAAATTTGAAATAAAGAATTTAAGAGGACAAAGAGAAGAGAAACAGTAATCTCTTATGCTAGTACATCAAAAATTTTGACATTCTATTAAATTGTAAATTGAATATATAATACAATTGTATATTTAACTAAAAATGTGAAGCTATAACTTACAAATAAAAAATATATAAATGATAAAATATTAAAACAACTTGTCAAAAAAGAAGATAATAAGTGATACATAGAAATGTAGCATGGTTTACTTTTTTCGAGTTTAATATTACCTATTATATGTAATTCCAAAATTTTACACTGTCTGGTTTAATTAAAAAATAAATTTGAAAAATAGTCCATAATAAAACATTGAACTCTATCACATTTCTCAGTAATAGTTTATTTTATTTTGACCTCAAGTTCCTTTGAATTATTTTTTTTAATCTGTTTATATCATCTTATTTTAATTTTTAATTGATACACAAAGTTTTTAAGAGCTATCATACTATCTAATCAGTAAGGAACAGGTAATTTAACAAAACAAACAGAAATATCAGAGAGAGAGAGAAAAAAAAATAAACAATATAAAAATAAAAGAGAAGCCCCGTGTATATTTGATTTCTAATACAATTATTAAATGAGCTAGAATAGGGTTATCCTTTTGTCTTGTAGAGGGTGCAAATATAGCTGCTGGCAGTTCCTCCGTAAATATAAACTCTATTTCCCTGTAACAACAGCCAACTGTGCCCACGGTTTAATGTCCTCTTCTCGGGTCTAATCTCTCATTATTCTCATAACTGTTATAGATTATATAATAACAGATTATAGAATTTAATAAAAGACAAATTTATATATATATATATATATATATATATATATATATATATATATATATATATATAAATATATATTAATTTTTATGGGCTATGGAAAAATTTAGTTTAATATTCATCATTAACATAATATTTTTCTATTATTATTATTATTATTATTGTTGTTAACAGTCACAGAGATATAATTGTATTTATTGAAATACTTTAAAATATGATTTATACTTTATTGTATCAAATAAATAATACTCTTGTTATCAGTTGAGTTCAGGCAATATTTATTTATATAAGGTTAGGTTAAGTAAGATGATTATTATTAATTATGTTATTGTTTTAAATAAATATAATATATCTGTTTTATTTTTTTGTAAACAAGAACTACATTTTAATGTGATTTGTATTTTAAGAAAATTTGTTTTTGTTTTTTAAATTAGTAAACGCAATATCTATTCAAAATTTGTTCATTTAGATGTTGATTACCATATCAATAGATAAATAAATAAAATTGAATATTTTGATAAAACATTTGATTTGTTTTTTTTTTACAACAAATTAATTATTTCTAATGGCATTAAGATGAAAATAAATTTTAATATTTGTAATTGAGTAAATAAGATTTTTAAAAATGTGAATTAATTGAAAACCAATTATAAAAAAAACAGGCAATAAGAGTACTTCAAACTGAAAAAAACACAGCCTTTAGAAAAAGGACAGAAGTATCAAACTAAGCTGAAAAAATATAATGTTTTACCTTTGAAAAGAAAATACATTTGGTATGCCTTTGTAGTATTCACAGATCAAATAGAATAACATTATTTGCAATTAGAAATTTAAAGAAAAATGAAAGTATAAACGTTTTTTATTTATTCATATTCTGCATTTTAATTTATATTGAGGATTAATTAAAAATATTTTTAAGTTTGTGTTTAAATGTATTTTGCCTGTTAGGCCTTTCTAATTAATGGACTCATCTTCATATTAAAATGATGAAAATTTACGACTTGATCTCTGCAATATTTACAACAAATTGTTTGGAGAAAGAAAAGAGGGGGGAGGGAAGAGAGCATGAGAAGCGAAGTAAAAGAAGGTGCAATATATTTTCAGATGACAAATGTGAGTGGATGTCATTCTATACATGCCACGCTTCAAGTGACATATTCATGGATACTGGGGCAATATTTAGACACAGTTTATTTTTGCTCAATGCTAAAATGTTTAGGGCAAAGTATAACTTTTATACTCATGCAGGGTCCTATTTAAAAGAAATTTCTAAATCAATCCAACAGAATTACTTTTTATATATTAAATTTTATATTATATTTATTGAAGCTTGGAACTAAAATGGATAATAATACTTATTAGATATCAATTACTACTATCTCATTGATCCCAACTACTATAGATCCAAAACTACTTTGTTTATTATTTTTATATTAACGTTTCAGTCCTTGGCCATTTTTAAGGAAAGAAACCTGTATTAAAATTAAATTAAATTCATCTGGACTAAATTTCTCTTGCCATAATAACAATAATGCATTCCTAAGTGCAATTCAGCCCATATGAATTTTAATTTATTTTAAAACAGGTTTCATCCCTTGAAAATGGCCTAAAGGCTGAAATGTTGGTGTAAAAGAAATAAATAAAGTAGGGAAATTGGGATCTAATAAGTGTTATTATTATTACTAATATTGAAGCCCTAACTGAAAAGTTTGGGCTATTTATAAAATGGCTAATGTTAATAATTTTGAAATTTGAATTGCTCAGGAAAATAAATCAAAATATAATCAATTACTTTTCCAGCACTGTATTTTTTAAGAACACTGTATTTATATCTGTAATAAGGTGTTTTCAAGGAAGGAATTATCCGTTGAATTTCAAAAACAATGAGATATACATTAATTGTAAAAAGAGCCAGTATTTCCACTCAGTGTTAGGTTTTGAGACTAACTAATTTATGGAAGAACATTCCATCTTTTAATGATTAAGATATATCCTAACCTGATTTATTTGATAAGGTTTAAGGAAATTTTTAAGTTTTAGATGTCGATACTTTTTTTTTTTTTTAATTAATAAAAAAATGATATGGTTAATCTTAAAAAGAATAATTATTATTTATAAAAGAGAATTATCCAAAACTTGCAAATTATAAAAATGAAAATGCTGCTCTAATTATTAATTCAGTGATTTATAAATTGTAACATATACCTGAATATTACCACACCCAAAACTGATATTTCTAATGATAGGACCAATTAATATCAGATGAAGGAGATATTAAAGAATAAATACCTGTTGTTTTTGAGATATTAAAGAATAAATACCTATAATATTTGAGATATTAAAGAATAAATACCTGTTGTTTTTGGACGGGGAATAACTGGAGGTCGTCCCAATGGTGCGACAGGGTGTGAAGCAGGCCTTCCAATTTTCTTATTATCTGTTTCATCAGTCTTATTTTCATCACGGCCATACGACTCCTAAAAAAGATAAATAAATTCATAGTAATAAAAAAATATATATTAATAACTTTCAAATAATAAAATAAACTTAAAATCCTTAATTAATGTAGATAGGAAAAGAATGAATGTAATGAATGTTGAACAATGAAACAATGGCCAATATTTTTGAAATCAAAAAGGTGTTTTATAATTAAGCTAGGACAAGATAGACAGGAGAAACAAAAGAGAAAATAAAACATAAAAAAGCAGCAAAGCACGAAATTCAATCCATCATAAAAAAAGTTCTACAATTAATACCAGATTTGTTTACTATTTAGAATCACTAATAATTTTTTCTTATAATCCTTTTAAGGCCAGAACAATAAATAACTTATAGCTCACATGAATGATATGTTTATATTAACTATTCTTCAGAGCGGATAAAAAAATTCATTTTGTACATTTTATAATTTATACAAACTCAGGAGATATTATACAAAATTTGATGATAAAGTACGACTTTGCAACACTAGCCCAGCCCAACATTGTGATTGGTAATTTCTGGTTACCAAATATGTTGGATCAATGAAGGTATATCTTAAAATAAATTAATTTAATGTAATGTAAAATGTTGTAAGAATCAATAATACAACTAGAACCTGGATTTCTATGCAATTTCATATTTTATTCCCATTTATTTTTTAACAATTCTCCAAACATCTGTACAGATAAGTGTACTCAGACGCAATTAACCAAATTTTATCCTATATCTAACTAAATTTTATATATATATATATATATATATATGCATATTTTGATAGTCTCAAGTAAAAAAAAAAAATAGAAATAAAAACTAAGAACTCGTAATTATTTTTATCGTTCAAACTTCAGTTTATCAGGTTGCCGGAGAACGCGTGTTTAATACATGTGTTAGCATGTTTGGCTACCCTGTCCGTCTCACAACTAGAACCAGCTTGTTGAAATTAAAAAAAAAAAAAATGAAATCGACAACACAATAAAGTTTAAATTAAATGTTTGCATCCCAAAATCATATAAAACTAACCTCATAAAAATACAGTAAAATTTAACCATTCCACATGTTCACTCAATATCTTCTACATTTCACAATCATTATTTTTTAATAATTATTTATATTAATCTAAATTGTTATATGAAATTTAAATAAATTGATATTAGACAGATTGTACATTATTTTCCCAAATTTCCTCCAACCCTGAGTCTAATTGAACTAGCTGTTTTCAAACTATGGGCGAATTAATAACGATATGTTTACAGATCCGAAAACGGAATTCTTTTTTTAACGCAGTGAATAGAATTCGGTACTTAATTTATCAATCCCTAACTTCCCTCTAAAGTTAGACCAAATGAACGTGCGATAATACATAATAAAGGAAAATACATTTGCACATATATAAGAGAAAGAAGTCAAAGGAATTCAACGAAATTGACATATCATTTTTTTACCTAATACCCATCTTTGAACCAAAACGAAAGAGGCCTTTCTAAAATATAGGCATAAGAAAATTCATTTAAATGTGAGCAAATAAAGTATTGGAATTTATAAAATTGATTCGGGGCCATCTAGATACCATCTTGCATAATCCCTAAAAGTTGCATTAAAATGGTGACAAACAGTAGTAGATGAGATACTGATTTAACTATAGACAGACAGACAAGCAGACATGGAACCAAATTTGTTCCTTGATGTCTCAAAAGTAAAACGAGTTGAAATTTTCGTTTCTGAGCACAATATTTATTTTAACCTTCTACAAGAATACTAAGCTTCTCTATCTTAGGTAGTGAGGAAGCGAAAAAATAAATAAATAAACCTGTGCCACTACAACCCATGATTCTTTCCCCATGGGATGATGATCCAAGGATCTTGGATTCTATTTAGAGAAGTACTGTTTTGAGCCCAACAGTTATGCATAGAGGCTATTAGACTGAGATAAAGCTCAACTGACAGACTTTCCCCCTTAATTAATTAAAAGTACCCACTTATATAGATTAGGTGGGTCCCAGGAGGGTCTTGTTATTCCAGGGTCGACCTACAACTAATGTAACAGAATAAATAAATCCTACAACAGCCGGAATTGAAAGCGGACCCCCTAAAGCACAGGAAGCCAGTGCATTACTCATTCAGCTACCGTACTCTCAATGGACAGCAACAATGAAAGCGGCGAACAAGATATCCAAACAAAAACAACTGGTGATATTCTTTTGAGATGGTAAGTTGAGTATGTATATGAAAGGTATGTTGAGATGGTTCTGACATATAGAGGCAATTAACGAAAGGATATAGATAGAAGTTTAAAAGATATTAATGGATGGGGAGTTCGGAATGTTCGACCTGAGAGTATGTATTTCAATAAGATTGAGAACATTTTTAGTAGAAGTACTTTAGGAGTACTCTAATTTAGTAACAAGATGCTAAAATATAAAGTTTAATTTGGGACTCTTTTGACTATTGAATTTGCCGATCACTAGTATATACCATAGGGAGAAACTTTTTTTATTATTAGAAGCCATCTTAAGGACAGAAAATAATCATATTTTTTTAATATTTCACAATTGGTATTTTTAATTTTTAAACAAATATACAGATATAATTAAATAAATAAAATATTAATAACTCACAGAGGCCTAACATATACCCTTGGAGGCAATAAATTTCCCATCTATAAAAAATAAGCATTTATCTTAAATACCACTCCAATTAACTCGGTGACCCAATTCGGGCAGAAAATATTTGGTGATTTTAAGTTTACACATACTCTCGCTCTTTCTGGCATGTCAGTTGCCTCCCTCAGTTATTTGTTTACATATATGTAAACGCTAGAGCACCAGATCACTGGACATGTCGGAAAACAATTGTAAACTCAGAATAGAAACAAATTTTTAACTTACTCCACAAACTGTATCGTTGCCATCGACAATAACACTAAGTGGTTGACTTAACCTAGGATCGCAGGGAATTGGCCCTGAGTCATGTCCATTCGGCTTGGCATCTGTGAACAGGTTTTAACGATAAGTACATTTAAATAAACACAAACAGATAAGATATGAACAGTCTATAAAATGTATTCACTTACGTAAACTTTCGATATATTCTTCATCAAAATAATCATTAGTGTCCGCAATCTCTTCCTCACTGCCTATCAAAAATGGAAAAAGTAAGCCACAAATTAATAAATAACCACAAATTTATTTATAACTTTTTTTTTATTATTGAAATTTACAACTGTATTAAATGATAAATACAACTAGTAAATATGAAATAAGTAACTTGACATGTACAACATGAAGAGAAACTACCCATTGGTAGCACTCCAATTATATTTCTATATTAAAAGGTCACGAGGCCATCTTCTTTTCAGATGCCTCGGAGGGTTATCAGGAATAGAACAGGAAGCAAGGTTGGAAACAAGAGGATTCGGATGGTTCAGAAGTTTATTATGGAAGGATAGGTATCTGGATTAAGCTAAATTGGAAACATATGGTACATTAAGACCGTTATGGATGATTTTATTTGTGACAAAGTAGGGAGCATTGAAGATTTTACAAAGTATTTTTGATAAGTTTAGGGCGTTTGTCTAGTAAGTGCTGCAGTAGTCGAAAATGTCGGGCGGTTTCTAGTCGTTTCTGTCTGGTATGGGGGTTCTAAGTGAGTCGTTTGTCCAGGTGGAGTCCTAGGTATCGAATTTGTTCAACAGGGATAAGTGGGCTATTGTTGAAGGATATTGTAGGACAGGAAGTCATAGGTTTACGACGAAGAGTAAAGGTAATTTGATGAGATTTATTGGAATATATTTTAATCCTTCAGTTTTGACACCATTTTACAAGCCTTGTGATGTGTGATTGAAGAGTTAGGGATGCAATAGATGTCATCGGCATAGGTGGTGATGACAGTGTTGGATTGGGTTGGGATGTCAGCTGTTATTTATAACTTAAAATGTATTTCCTATTTTTAACACTTTTAAAATATTTTCCTTTCCACATCCACTCTTTGGATGGATATTCTATGCTGTCAATGAATATTTATTTATTCGATTAAGATATAAATGATGTATATACCAGAGTTACTTTTGGCGATATATGAAACATATTCTGTCATTTTAATAATAGCAAGTTTCTTTGCTTAGGTATTCAACCAATAAGAAGCAGTTATACATTGCTTTTTAATTGTTCGATTATCAAATCTATGGTTTGTGTATGATTGCTATATCTACATTTACTCTAATCAACAAGAATATTTATATTCACATAATATTTGCTAAGAATATTAAACAATTCCTTATGATAAGTGCGCTGATGTGCAAATTCAGTTTCCTCGAGAGCACCAGAGGCCTGAATGTACTTGCTTATCAAAATAAACACATGGTGGATTGTTAGAGAATTGACATGTACATGTTACGGTTTTTTGGAACAAACAAAAAAATCCTTACATCTGAACATGTACATAAACAAAGTAAATTGATGTATTGTCAGAAGAACCTTGAGCTTTGTTAGGGTGTTGAAGGCACCCGACTACAACATTAAGTTTTGATACTCAAGAAGTAAACTTCACCAATCTATTTATCTAGATATACAAGTATATTTTGGTAATCAATTTATTTTTCTAATTATGAAATGTAACAAAACAAAAACAAAAAAAGCCTTGTTTCAAAACAGTCACAGGATCTCACCTCCTGACAAGAGGTAGGCTATGGATATAGAATTACAGATTTCAATGAAACTAAAATATTAGACACGTTTAAAGGTTTCTGATGGATTTTGAATAGAAGGAATTGTTAGTAATGTATAAGAAATATCATTTTTGGTGCTACGATCCACAAGGCCTCTTGTAAGATCCTGTCTAAGCCGCTACTTCACCAGCCCAACGTAGTTTGGGTCTTTCAATTAGCAGTAAAAAATTTGACTAAGATAAATTAACTTAAATGTTTTTAATTTTAAATATGTGAACAGATGAATGGAAATGTGATGCCGGATTTTTATGAGATAGCATATTTTATTTGCATGATTTTTTTTTTTTTAGCCGCTGATCAAATATCTATACGAATTAGTACACAGTGATCCAATTAGCCAAATTTTATTTTGCATATTTGAGGATAAATACATCTAATTGCATATTTAAGGATAAATTTATATAATTGCATATTTTGATTAATTTAATGAAATAAACAATATATACGTATTGTGTGAATATATATATATATATATATATATATATATATATATATATATATATATTGTAATGTACACCTTTATTAGAAATGAGTAAAATGGGTTTAATAAATTAATGTTGAACAATTAAAAGGCAAGCTACTTGTGCAGGGAAAAGAAAATGGCTGCTCTATAGTTTCCCAAGAAGGAAAATCCCAAAGAAGAGGGGGACAAAGCTTTTGTTTTGGCATGTTGTTGTTGTGTGGCTGCAGTGAAGAGAGGATAGAAGTGATCCTGGCTCCAGTGGGAAAAAACCCTGCAATAGTATTACCACCTTGGAAGTTGTTTGGCAGAGACTAGCTGTTTGGAATTACAAGAGAGAATATCTGCCAGGGAGCTTGTTGAGTTGAGTAGAAGATAGTGTCACCAATTTGGAAGTTGTTTTTGGAAGAACATAGGAAAATGTTAAAAGATAAATAAATTTAGTACAAAAAAGGAAGAAACAGTATATATAGAAAAAAGGTTAGCTTGCCAATCCATATTTGACTTTATTTTAGAATCATTGTTTAGAATAGTTAATTTTAGTTTGTCCGACTGTTTTGATCTAAATTTCAGTAACCCACATCTGAGATAAATAAATATATTAATCCTCTTATAATTTTGTTTATTATTATAACAACCTCTTATTTATTTTGGAAGTATCCCAACGGTATTTAGTGATATTCCGAGATTATATTATTATTATTTGTAAAACACAAGAGAGATATGTTACAATATACATATAAATCAAAATGCCTGCAGAGAAAACAGTAATTTAATAAATTACAGAAATGATATAAAATCATTTTTTCTCAGCTCTTAGTATGCATTAGAAAGAACACACATGTATAACATTTATGAACTTTCTAACACCCAAAAAAAAAAGCTTTTGTTAAAAACAGTGATATCATATCCACAGCCTCTTCTTCTGATTAATTAGAGCCATTAGACTTAAAAATCGGTTGAACAATTTGTTCAAAAATTCATAGTACTTCTTTTTTTTGTTTGTCCTTCCTTACCTGTCAACTATACGGGGTTTTTCCCGAACCAGGGCAGAGGGTGGAGGATTAATGCCAAAGTTATCAATTATCTCCAGTTTATTATCAGAGTTGCTGGACAACATGTGTTTTGCAAATGCGTTAGCCTGCTCAGCCATCCCACTCCCATTAAATATTTCCACATGGCTTAAGATAAAACCATATTCAATATGATAAGTTTTTATATTTTGAGCTGAATTTTTCTAATAATATAGATCTCCTTGAGTAATTTGTGCCATCAAACATGAAAATCAGTTGAGCCATTGGAAATCATGAAGAAATGTGCAGATCGGATTGTTTTCATAAATTACTGTAAGCTAAACAATACTTACAGGTTGAATCGTAGTCAGTATCCAATGGAGCATCATATCCACTAAAGAATGGCAATAAATCTTCCATTATAGTGACTACTTCTTTCATCGACGGGCGGACTTCTGGGTTCTTATCCCAACACCTGAATACAAAAAAAAAAAAAGAAGAGGAATAAGTACACTAATCAAAACCTGTAAAATGAACCAAGTTATATTTGAAAATATAATACTATTTATACTTTAAATATTTATTTTTGTATTTGTTCAAAAAAACAATTTTTTTGTCATTAAATTAATTAGTTAGGTTATTAAACTAACCAATTACCATTAACTAACTAACCTATTACCATAGCTGAAGTAAATTATAGATCAAATATAGACTTTAATCACCTTGTATAAAGACTTTCGATAGGTGGCGGACAGTTGATAAGAAGAGGAGGACGATGGCCAAGATGAACATACCACATAATTGTATAGACAGTTCCGGATAAATTGGTATAAGGCCTCTCTCTACTCAATATCTCCCATAATATTATTCCCCAACTGTAGACATCACATTTTTCTGCGTATTTTGACCCTGCAATAAACCATTTTATAAATATTAAAATATAGTAATGTAATGCAATATAATACATTTTGAAAATTAAGATTGTATATGGCGCGGGGCACCAATGAACCTCTCTTGAATAAAATTTATCTCTGGACTGTTTATTATTTAGATCAAACATTTGGCAATAGTAAGTTAATTTAATTTGTAAACAGAAAAATTAGAACATTCATTTATCCCGAAAATAAAGAAGATAAATGAAAATTCTTAACTAAAGGGCTCTGCCTACTATGTCAATGTGGAGGCACGGCATTCTTTTCCAATAAAATAATACTATTGCAGTACAGTACCATACCATGCTTCCACACCGATGGGTAACTTTACAAAGAAATACATGGAAGGGTCAATTACATAGTTTGATGAAACTTTGCATATTTGCAGAAGTATAAAAACAATATTTGATACTATTTTTGAAACACTAAAAGTAAAGAATTTTCCTAGAAGCCTGGTTGAGGCCATTAAATCCATATACCAAAATCCAAAAGGAATAGTCAGACTGAATGGACAGGAATCTGGCTATTTTAGCATAGCGAGGGGGGTCAAACAAGGTGATAGTTTAAGCCCGTTGCTATTTATATTATGCATGGATGAAATTGCTGCAATCTGCAAAAGGCGAACAGAAAGGACGTTTCTGGAACGAAGGAATCTGCTTCCAGTCGTATTAGTTTCTTCTATATACGGACGATATTGTCCTGATTACTGATTCTGTAGAGAAATTACAGTAGGCAGTTGACGAATGGAATGAGGAGCTCCTCAGGAAGGGTATGGTCATCAGTACAAGAAAGAGCAAGATCCTACAGGTTGAAAGGGTGCAGGAAGATGTTAGAGTGTATTGCAACAGAGAGGTGATGGAAGTTGTGTCAGATTTCACCTACCTTGGTTCTGTTATGGATCAGTCTGGGAAAGTGGATTCAGAAATTCTGCACAGGATAAGCAAAGCAAACGCTATATATTACCAGATCTACAATACTATGATCGGAAAGAGAGAAGTGAGCAGAGTTGTAAAACTGCACATATTTAAGGCAGTATACTTGCCTGTACTCCTGTATGGTGCAGAAAGCTGGGTGCTGACTGACAAACTTAAGAGAAAAATCACTGCTGCAGAAATGAGGTTTCTCCGAAGGATCGCAGGGAAAACGAGATGGGACTGCATTCGCAAAGAGAGAATCAGGGAGGAATTGGGAGTTCCTCCGATGAAGGATGTCCTAAAGACTCGGCAGCTTAAGTGGTTTGGGCATGTCATCAGGGTGGAAGAACACAGAGATCCATTAAAGTCTATGGACTACGTCCCCGATGGCAGAAGACCCCGCGGCAGACCGAGAATGTCGTACCTCGAATACGTAGACTGCTGTGCAAAAACAGAAATAAGAATACACGCCTATTCAGAAATCTTGCAATAATCAGAGAAAATTGGCAATCCTGGTTAGACACTCCCCTAAGCTGAAAGGCACTACAGGGTAATGCAAAAGAAGAAGAAGATACTATTTTTACTTTCACTTATCTATATAAGTAATGTATAGCAAAGGTAAGAAATGCGATCGTGACAAATTTTTTAATGTAAATTTTTAACGGAAATACACGTTTTCAGGTCCCCTGAGTCCAAATAACCTAGTCCTGCAAAATGGTCTGTGTGTGTGTGTGTGTGTGTGTGTGTGTGTATGTTAACAGTCTAGCTCAAAAACGAAAAGTCGTACGGAAGTGAAATTGCATACTTAACGCTTTTATATGCTAGGGATGTTACAGCAACTGTTTCGTCAAAATCGGCTAACCAGAAGTCACAATTTATGAAATGCATTAAACACATTTTTACAATTATGTCAAAAACCGCTCGAAAAATTTTGACTAAATTCATCATATCAGTGTAAAATTAAACAGGGCTTAAATGGCTAATTTTCAATATTAGTTTCCTCTAAAGTACCTCTAATTTTTTTTATGTGCAACAATTGACCATTTCACATTAATTTCTAATATGAAAAATGTTTAAATATAAAATATGAAAGAATTTGATAAATAACTAAAGGAGAAATAAGAGATCATAACGGAGAACAGTTGTAATTGAGGAACCAAAGGAATACGAGCGCACCCAAGCTCATCCGAAAAATTAGAACACGCTTCCATACGTATCAAGAGATTAATATAATACAGACTCGGAAAATATTATATAAATAGACGTAAGTGGTTTTCATAAATGCAATTGCTGGTATTATTTAATATTTAATTGTATAGATTACAGCGATATAAATATTAAAATTTGTATACATAAGTGTAATTAAACAAATAAAAATACCCACAATAGAATATAAATAAATATAGAGTCTATAATTTTTACTTTCACTTCGCTTTGTCTGAAAACACTTATTTTTACTAAGAAGAGGGTGGTAAATGAAAGTTGTGTGATGCGCACAACACACCAGATTTTTTGTTTATTGTCAACAAATGGAGCAAATAAGTTGAAATTTTCAAAAAGTGAAATAAGAAAAAGATATTTAGTTTCATTGAAAATATTATTATATCAACAGTACAAAAACTAAAATGGCTGATTCAACATTTTAAAATCCCGATAAATCAAAATTAATTACTAATTTAATGTTTATAATAATTATATTTAAAAAAAGAGAGTACTCATATTTGTGAATGAATTTAAATAATTTATCAAAGCTATAAAATTCACGTATTAACAATCAGTCAAATCTATTAAAATTAATATAATTCACAACTGAAAGAGTATAATGTGGGTTTATTGCAAAGTTATTATGTAACAAATCACTAAGCATTTTAACGAATTTTCTTTCTATAAAAACATAACATTTGTGCAGTTAGTGTAGCTACTTTCGTAACTACAACGTTTTCTGTAATTATGATGCATTTTATACATTTTTAAATTAATAACTAAAATTGAAATTCACAAGAACATACTGAAAAATATAGCTCTATTAAAAATGTACTTAGTGACTCTTGGCAATGTATTATTGTTCAAACTTGGAGATATTTATATTAATATCAAATATCCATCAAAAATAGTATTTTTATATGATTCAATATAACCCTGCTGATTATTGTGATAAGAACTGTGCTAAAGTGTGTGAGTTACGTAGTGCTTCAGTAGCAATTAGGTTTATATCACACACTAAATCTAAGAACTACATCACATATTTTATTTTTATCAAAAATAATAAATATTTTTACATTTCTGGAAGTCATAATAGCAATTATGATTTTTTTTTTACTTTAGAGGAAAGACTTGGTTATAGCTACCAGAAAAATACCCTTAGTCCACTTAATTATTTTTATTAGTTTAAAATTTAGTTTGTTTTAAACATATTCAATTACTTTTTAACCTTGTAAGGTAATGTGCACTCTTTAGGGAGAACATTTATCAATAAATAAAAAGTTTTTTATAATTTGTATCAAACCTTTAAACCTTTTATTTATTTTTTTGTTGGGTCCTCCCCTTCCTCGTCTTTATTAAGGCTATACAGGGTTTTCCCGGGGCAGGGGATATGGGCGGTGATTTAAAAGACTCTCCCGGAACCGGGATGCGAACTCTTGACTATTTTTTATCATTTGTCTCACTTATCAGGTTGCCGGGCAACGTCATACCTTTAAACTAAATGGAATGTAATCATGTATAAAAAGAACTTGAGTGCTTATCTACAAAATAGGTGATCAAAAGAATACATCAAAATAATTCCCCGAGAGCTCAAAAGATGTGATAACTAAGTATATTCGACTGCCTTGATTTTTTTTTTTTTAATCTGTAATAAGAAAGTTATACTTGAAGTAGATTTATGTTAGCTATAAATTAAGTTACTAGGAATGAAAAAACATATGAATAAATCAGGAATTTCTGGTATTTGTAAATCATACCATAATTATTGGTATATATAAGTCATGGAATACATTAGGTTAAAACATAAAATTAGTCAAGATACATTAATGTATAATTAAGGCTTTTCCAATAACGATACAAACCGATACATTTCTGACAGAAATATGAACTTGTTTGTTTCAGAATATACCAATCTAAATTTGAAGATTAATTAGAAAACTAACAAAAATGTTTCACTCCAGCTATAAAAACAAACAAATATAATAATCAAAGAAATTCATCTGAAAAACATTCATTGAAATTAAAGTAGATGAGAAAAATATTATTTTCAACCCGTAGAGTTTTTATAAATTAATATTTTCTGAGAATCTATTTAAACATTAATTGATTGCCTAACTATCTTCAAAATTGTTGATAAAGTGCCAATTTTAAAAATGTTCTTGTTTGTATAACTAGGTGTTTTATTTAGAGTCTAACCGGTCTTTCATAGAACTATGCATATTTTGAAATACTTCAAGACTTGATAATATACCAATAATGGTCAACGATAAACAAATAAAAATGAATTAATAATCAAATTTTTATGTTAATTAATTTATTCATGCAAAAGATATTTTGATAATTGCATATACCAAAATAAAATAAATATGTCATAAAATCACATCAGCAATAGTTATTATGTCATATACCTTCGAAAACTTCTGGAGCCATCCATGCGGCGCTCCCTTTGTTATTTGTCATATAAGTCTTTTTATAGCAAGCTGTTCCAAAATCACATATCTTAAGAACTGTCCCTTTGTCGAACAGAAGTAAATTAGGAGGTTTCAAGTCTCTTTAAAAAAATTAATAAATGAATATACATTAATTACACTTAGCAGCCACAAGACTGTAGAAACATTCATAATTACTTTTATTGTAAAAATAAAATTTATAGTTAATATGAAATTTTATAAAAGTATAAAAAAATTAAGACACTTCTTCAAATAAAGAATACAAAAAAAAAAAAAACAGAAAATAAAATAAAATTTTGTAAAATTATTAATTTAAAATATAGTACTAAAAATTTGTAACATATACTTGTAACACATAAATTCTAGGTAATCTAAATAGATCCAATTAATTTTAAATAACAGACAAAATTGCAAATTGAAATTTGTTTTTTATGTGGAAATCATTTTAACTGGAATTTAACAACAGTAAGTTATATCATGTAAAACAATTAACTTATTATTTTATTTACACAAATTTTGTCAAGAAAAAAATAATTTTAACATAGGATGCCCGTGATACTATTACTTCTGTGATCCCAAGTCATAAAACATCTCGTCTTTTCAAATCGAAGTTTGCTACAAACTTTCAAAATTAAAGTACTTTGGTTGCCTTAATTAAGTAAAACTTTATAAGGTTTGCTACAACCTTTGTTTGTAGTCCTTTGATTCAAGTCAAGTAGATTTTTATTTAGAATTAATTAAAATTAAGTTTATTTATTTTAATATATTTTTTAGCATATACCTAATTTAAATTTTTTTTGTTATATTTGAAATTTAATACATTCTGCCGCATTGAAGGGCATTAATATTAGGGCTACATTAAACATTCACACAATTTTTAAATTAACAACATATCAAATGATCATTTATTATATTTCAACTAACAATAATCACCCTTCAGTAGATCTTTGTTGGTAACAATATTGATTCTGTGATAAGTTTAAATAATCATTTATATATAACACATGAATTTATATTAAAACTACCAAAAAAAAAAAAGAATTATAATGTGAAACAGAGAAGTAACAGAAATTGTGTCTGAGCTTCTTAAATACTTATTTATTAAAATCTATAAATAAAATTTCAATTTAAAGCACTAAATGCTGAATATGCTTTTTGATTTAAACATAAAACTTGCAGCGAATAAACCAATAGAAGGTCAAAATTATTAATTATTTAGTAAATATACTTAAATTACCTATGAATAATAGGAGGATTCATTCCATGAAGGTAAGCTACTCCTCTGGCACACTGTAAAGCCCAATTCATTGCATGACCAGCGGTGTAACTGATTTTGGTTTGGGAATGTAAAACTGAAATGAAACAAAATTCACAAATCATCACTACAACTCTATATGTGACCAACAAGAAATTGTATGAAAACATAAACTGGATGATTTCAAATTGGTATAACAAGAGCTATGGAAGTGAACCTTTACCATTATATAGTGAACCACCTTCAGCATACTCCATAACTATACAGACAGGTTCTTGAGTAGGGACTCCATACAATTTTATTATGTTTTCATGGTTTACCCGCAGGAGATGTTTAATTTCGATAGTAAAAGCTTTCTTTTCTGCTTCTGTTTCAATTCTTTTAACTGCGACATTGATGTCTTTCCAAAAAGCTTTGTGGACGACACCAAACGAGCCCTTACCGATAATCTAATAACAAAATGTCAAATATTAGAAGCTAACCGACGGAATATTGTTATCTGTATGTTTAAATTGATGACTTCATATTATCTTGAACAAACAACAATTATTGACGTAGATGTGTTAAGCTGATTAAGGCGAAAGCATACCTGACCGTATTTGATATCTTTGTGGTCGATGTTGCCTACATAAGCTTGATTAGGTTTGACAACTCCTTTCATCGCCATAAGTCAAGAATGACGATCTAATTCAGTCAAAAATTCAAAAACACTACCAAAGCTTACGATCAGCTGATGGCAGTCATTTTCCAGGGCTGCATGTCTCTGTTGTGCTGTTGTGATTATCTTCCTAAACTATTTCCAATATATATTATTTCCATAATTAAATTATATTAAAGCACCGATCCCAATTCTAATCACAGCCATTTAAATAGAAATCAGATTTGGGCAGACGAGACAATGCCGATTTCCACGAAAAAATATTCCGCTGATTAGTCATTAGGTGGGGTGGGATTATGATGTCAGATAGGTTGTTACTTAGTGAAAACGTATGGTTTTAAAATTGCACTGGCTTATAATTCGTCTTCATATTATTAATTTTCGTTTATTAAATAATTCTTAAGTTTTATGAAACCAATTTTAAAAGTGAACGAGATATTTTTGAACTGAGTGAATCCGTTTTAAACAACTCAGAATATGTCGGGGTTTTTGGACCAAAAATTGGCAGCTTTAAAGATAAGCTCAGATGGCCAACAAAGTCCGAAGAAAGTTGGTCCAGCAGTTCCACCTAAACCTAAAAAACCTCAACCTCAGGTAAGTGAGAGGCTTTCTTACTGTTTAGTGATTTCTTAGTTCCAAGACAGTTTTCATTGTCATTACATCTTTATCAGGTGCCTAAAAGTTATGCCTTGAATGGCCCGAGTGAGCCTTCTTACACTTCTCCTTTGCACACTACTAGTCCCGAAAAGAAAACTAATGTCTACATGTCTCCAGTCAATCAACATACTGGCAACATTTATTCCAATATTCCTTCAGGTAAGTGTTACTTAATATTAGTTCTTATGTTGTTCATTGGTTTATTTAATTCTGTCCAATCTATTGTTTGATTGCTTATTTTAGGATACAATCAGCAGAAAAAAGATGAACCTGTCAATAATACGTATAGCAATGCTGAAATGTTTAAACCGTCAAGTGCTTACAGGAAAGCTGAACCTCAAGCACCAGTTTATAGTAATATTATGAACAATAGCAGCTATTCTAACGCTCCTAGCTATGCCAACATAGGTAATGTACATATATACACAGTATATTCTAATCTAAACCATTTGTTAGATAAATAGAATTTCTTACCAGAAACCATTTGTTCGAATGAAGGTTTGGATTAACTATTGTCACCTTTAGTAGCTGCAATTAGAATTCTGTTCAACAGAATATAGAGATGACTAGTCTCTTATCATTCTCATCAATAATTATAAATAAGAGCGTGAACTCACTCATACATAACTTTTAGGTTATAATATGAAATGAAATAAAACGAAAAATAAATAATTTTTTAATTGTAATAATTATCAAATATCTAAATAAAAACAGTTTTTATGTATCGGACTGATGATAATCTCAATTTCCTATACCATTTTATATTTTGAGGTGCAATAACTGCATATATAATTGATATTAATAATGAAACTTGTGATTCAATTAAATTAAGAAAAAAATTGAGAAATTGAAGACCAACTTAATAATGTACCAACTAAAATTATCAAGACTAAATAAAACATTGAACAAAATCCATAAATTCAATGTATTTTTATTGGTTTTATTGAAATATAAAAGTAAAAAAATAGTGTAACTTCTTCATTAATTTTTTGTAAGAAAAATAATTGTGGAAAAAACGATCTACTTTAGGATTGTGATGATTATTGAACAGTTAATATAAATGTAAATTTTCATTGTGTATAATGTGATTAAAATCTTCCTTAATCATTTTTTTTATTACATATATATATCTATAACTCCTGTATATCTTTATATCCTCCCTCCTCCGCAATCGTAGTCTATGCACTCAACTGGCTTTGTAATTTCATGTACAGTGTAATCGATGTGGTCTTGTCCACGAACCTTTTACTATGGAAACAATATAGTAAAACTAATAAGTTTTGTTAACAATTGCAAATGTTACCCTTTAAAAGATTTGTTTTTAATTACAAACTTTCATTATTTTACTAAGTCTCTCTAGTATATTAATTCTACTCAAATATGACATCTTCGTTTAAATTTTATAATATGTGAATGGTTTATAAATGTGCTGATAAATTCTATTTTTTTATTTCGTTATAACATTGGGATGTATCTCCTAATGTTGAAATAGTCATAATCTAAATACAAGATATGGTTGTTTTTTTACTTAGAAATATGTATTATTTACTAATATTAATGAAGGTTGCATTGTCCAAGTGTTTATCTCGGGTAAGTCATTAAGATAATAGTTTGCATATCTCTTATCTCTATGACTTTTGAATTTCCTGGTCTTTTATAATTGTAGGAGCTTTAGATAAGAGATCACTATGCGACATAATTAAAATAAGCTGCTTTCATAAAAATGTGAACAAATAAATCAGTGTTGGTATTAACCTAGGCCATAACCATTTATATATTGTATAAGTATATATTTTGGGATTAGATTTATTAATTTACTGACTTGTTAACATGAATGATTATAATCTACTTTTCAGTTACCAAAATTTGTTTTGTCCTTAGGATTCTATAAAATTGTTTTAATGTTGAAGTTTGTTTTAATTTCTTAACTCCCTTATCATTAAAAGAACTTTCTGGTTTTACTTTTGTATCGCATTGTTTTAAACACTTTACATTTAAGAAAATACTTGATGGTATTGAAAAACACTCATTCACGGATTGAATTTTTAGCTTCTCTAAACCCTGCCATATCCAAAATCTGAAGATCATTTTTTATGGTTGGTTCTACCTCCCACATGTTAAATCATCGGTGCAGAGCTGATAACATTTTTGCTGTTACATTTTCTGTTTGTTTCCTTTGAAATAAATTTGATTAAAAACAGATTTTTCCTTTTTAGTTATTTGGCAATAATAACTTCCAATTGGTAACAATTGAGTATATTTCTATTATCAACGTTACATGTTAACAAGTTAGTTGACGTTTCGGGATATTTATTCCCATCTTCGGAACTGCAATCCCAATAATCTTGTCGATGCAAGGCTTAAAAATAATAATAATGTGCTCCATCTTCAAATTTCTAATCCATGTTATATAATGTATAATCTAGAGCAACATCCTGCTTTTGACCAATTTTGTCCCATTTTAATTAATATAAGCCTTGTCTGCCATTCTGAAGCTGTTGATAATAAAATAGAAATCATGTGAAGACGTCCAAAGATGGTATTGATTCCAGGATGGACGAAACTCTGATAGATGATAGTATATAGATCTTTTTATTTGAGTCTCCAGTGAATTTCTGCGGCTCAGCATTGCAAGACGGAATCTTTATCATAAACAAAATAATATATGTTTTGAAATTTTATCCATTCTGTGATCTGAGTAATTTTTTGGAAATTCCGGATGTTTTCACATGACGACATCTTTTAATGAGTAGCTTTAGACTGCGCCTTCAGGATCATTAAAGTACCTCCATTTATTCTGTTCATTATTCCTAGAATTGGTGTTATATTTGTTATATAAATTAGGCCATTATTCACCAACATATTATTTATTAGCTATTTTATTACGTTTTTCTGAAAAATTAATACAACATTAATAATGAATATCTAATGGAGGACTCAGTAAGACTTGAAAATGGCCCTAGTGATGGTCGAAACGTCGTAATCAAGTAGCTAATAAATATGTTGGTGAATAATGGTCTAATTTATATAACAAATATACCTCCATTTAAAGATTTTAGAAATATTCAAAATGACAATTTTACACTTTATAAAATACTCAAATAAATCTAAGAACAAAATTTTTAATGTATGTCTTGATCCACTTAAGAAGGTAGTGTACTTAAAATTTTTAAATTAACTTCTAAAATCAATGATTTAATTTATCTATTTTTACTTAAATTTCAGATGACATTCCACCAATGCCTGAGATAGTCGACTACAGCGACTTCCCTCCGCCACCTGCTGATTTTCCTCCACCACCCTCTCCGGTGAGTTCTAGTTATTCAGAACTCCGGAGAGCGACCAACAGCAATCCTGACTATGCTACCTATGCTCCTTCTTCTCAGGTATTTTAAATTCCATTATCATTAACATATTGATAAATTAGGGACATAGTCGTCTTCGCCATATTATTCTAGCCTTTCTTATATAATTAAATTTCGATTCTAGAACAGTATATCAATTCTTTATTAGCTAAAACTCTGATTGGTATACTTGATTGAACCACATATAATATCTTTATTAAATTTTTTCCAGGGTTCTTCTGCTTATGATTCTATATATGAGCCTATAGCTCCAAGGCCACCATCATCCCGATCCAATTATTCTATATATGCTCCATATAAGGCTCATGAAGCAGAAGTTGACGCACTCACAGATCTTCTAGTACATTCAATGGATTCTCCCACTGCTGATGGTTACATATATGGTAAACTTAAATTTATTTGCAAAAGTTTCCTTTTCTATCCTACATACACCATACCAGATTTTTATTTCTGCATTAATTAGCAGCTGTTCTTCATCATTTAAAAAAAAAAATTATATTTGGGTTGGCAGATAAGTTCTTTCGGTTTTTCTGTTTATTTTTACGTCACTATGATACACTTCCTATCTGATGAGTTAATCCCTAAAGTGGATATGAAAGAAAATATCATTCATTATCGGCATATTTTGATGTATTATTTTAAAAAAGGTAGGCTTGCTGCAGAAGCTTATAGGAAAATTTGCAGTGTTTATGGGGATGATGCCTTAACCGAACGCACCTGTCAAATTTCATTCAGGAAATTTTGACATCAATGATGCACAACATTATGGTCACCCACATGAAATTGAAACAAGCAATGTTAAGGCCATTGTTGATCAATATGCCACCCAATCAGTGCGGGAGATTACTATGGTCCTAAATGTATTGTACACAAGAATAGAAAACCATTTTCACAAGCTCGGCTATGGTTACAGACTATGTTTGGGTTGCTCATTCTCTAACTGAAGTCAACTTGGCAACAGGCATTTCTATTTGTAATTCACTACTGAAACGGCAATAAAACGACCCATTTTTGAAGAGGTTTGTTACAGGAGATGAAAATGGATATTCTATGATAATGTTGTTCGTAGAAAATCTTGAGGACCTAGTATTCAGGTTCCTAGCAGAATGTCAAAATCCGGATTGCATCCAAAGAAGGTAATGCTTTCCATATGGTAGGATTTCAAGGATGTTATTTTCTATGAGCTATTGCCATCAGGACAAACAATTGATTCAACTCTATACTGTTCACAATTAACACAATTGGATCAATCAATTAAAAATAAACACCCAGAACTGGCAAATCGGAAGGGTGTTTTGTTCCAACGAGGCATCGCTATGCCCCACACCTCATTGGTCACTCGCAATAAATCATTGAGCCTTGGATGGAGCCTTTTGCCCCACCCTCCCTATTCACCAGACCTAGCCCCACGTGACTTATACTTATTCCGGTCTCTGCAGAACTCCATGAATGGAAAGAAATTCCAAAAGGAAGAGGACATCAAAAACCATTAGTTTTTTAACAATGAACTCCAGACATTCTATGAACATGGCATTATGCAGTTAGTGAAAGGATGGGAAAAAGTCATATTAAATAATGGTCAATATATTGTAGATTAAAATAAATTGTATGTCTATAATACATTGAGTTTTATTTCATCCTGAAAAACCAAAAGAACCTATTTGCCAACCTAATACATTTCTGTAAGATTGTAAATAGTGTATTGCAAGGGTTTACAAAGATAATGTTGATCTCTTTATTTTTCTCTTTTCTTTCAGTTGCTATGATTTTTCTTTTTTATAATAATGATTTTACATGTTAGTTGACAGTTGACTCCAGTTTAATATAAATATATAAATACATCAGTGCAACAATTTTTTTTTTTTTTAATTTAGGAGATTGTGTCAAATGTGGAGAAAAGGTTGTTGGAGAGGACAACGGATGCACAGCGATGGATCAGGTGTACCACATTGAATGTTTTACTTGTTGCCATTGTGCGGTTCAACTACGCGGAAAACCTTTTTATACATTGGAAGGAAAGCCTTATTGCGAAGCTGGTTATTTGGTAAGATTAATTTATATAACAATTATATCTTGAAGGAGTTTTAATCTTAATAAAATATTATTTTAATAATTGTGGCTGTTGTTTGTATAGCTTACTTTAGAAAAATGCTCCGTTTGCCTGAGGCCTATTTTGGATAGAATTTTGAGGGCTACTGGTCGTCCCTATCATCCTCAGTGCTTTTGCTGTGTCGTTTGCGGCAAAAGCCTTGATGGTATTCCGTTTACTGTTGATGCCACAAATCAAATTCATTGTATAGAAGATTTCCACAAGTAAGTTTTATTTACAAACTATATTTTGTTAAAACATTTATACTTTCTGTTTATTAAAAAAACATTTTGAAGTTACACATAATTAAGCATTTTTGGAATTTAGTGATATGTCCTCAGATTTCTTTTATATCCTCTCCTTAGATAAAATCTCTAATATATATCAAAAATACAATTCCCTTCTGTTTTGTTTTTTCAACAATTATCTCTTAATGACTCAAAATAAGTACCTAACCTTATACTTCAAATTGTACACTATACCAATCCTGCTTAATCTTAATCTTACTTTCTTATCAGACATTTCTTTAAGTGAGTCTGACACGTTCCAAAGAATTGTCATAGTTTCTTTGCTATTTCCAATATATATATTTTTTTTTTCATGTTTTAAAAACATATTGTAAACATTGTATTGTATTTTGATAAAACTGGGAATAACAAAAAGTAATTGTTAAACTTAACATCATCAGAATCAGTCATATATATTCCGAAAATATCAGATAAATTAATGTTTAAAATAGAACAAATCTCTTTTCATAGTTTTATTTCATTTATTATCATTTAGAAATGTGGAATTAATAATTTCCAAAACTGTTATACTTCATACTGACCTCTATGGTATGCAAAATGTAGCAGTGTGTATGAAGGACCCCTTATGGTTTTCGAAAATAAGATATTGCATGGGATATGTATGCCAAAATAATATGGGTTGATCAGACTTAATTTAGAAGGCTATACAACATCAAATCGCATTTCTTGAATCTGTTAAACATCATAGAGATTACATCTTGGTATGTGAAATGGTCATGTAAAGTTAGGTTGGGTTAAGAACTAATTTCTGAGAAGATTATTAGCTCCAAACTTATGATTAATCTAGGTGTCGACCAATAATCTACTATATTAGATTCCTTCTTGAGTTGTTGGGTTTTGATGGAGTTCAATGGAGGAGATAAGTAATCAAGATCTATTGTTATGGTTTGGGCTAACCTAATGGAATCCCCATTTTAGATATCTGGATTTACTCAGCCATTACTATTATTATATATATTTTTTTTTTTGTTCTTCCCTACCTCGCCTTTTAGGCTATCTGTATAGCTATAGAAAATCCAGTGATTTTCCTGGGCCGGAGGGTGAGGGCGGGGAATTTAAAATCCCCTCCGCCACCGGGATGCGAACTCATACTTTTTTAATCTTCCCAAATCTCTTATCGGGTTGCCAGGCAACTCGCGGTGCAGTGCACATGCTTTAGCCTATTCGGCCACTCCACCCCCTTATTATTATATATTATATATGGAGCCGGTATAGCAGAGTGCTTAGCGCACTATACTAGTAAAGCAAAAATGATAGGATCGAATCCCGGCCCTACTTCCCAGTTCGGTTGGTACCCGCAGGAAGTTAGACCATAATACTCCCTTAATTAGAGGAGGCCTACAAGTTGTAAGACTTGTATGAACAGGTTTTATTATTTATTTATTTATACTATTATTATATCTCGAATATCACATTTACTTCGAGATTTTTTTCGATTGGGATTACAGATCTTGTAGATCTTTTGCCGCCTTAACAGTTATTTGCATGTAGCTCTATTTCATCTTTGTTGATTCTATCCATCCGCCTTTTGGACTTACACATATCCTTTTGCCTTCTATTGAGGCATTCATTGTTATGCTATTCATGTTAAAGGCTTCCAGATGGATTGCTCTCTGCTACAAACCCACCCATCTTAACCTTTGTACTTTCATATTATGAGATCTTGATTGACCAGTTTACTCTAATGCTCATTATAATTCCACTGTAAATTTCACTTAATAAATGTCTGAAAATGTACAATACACTTCACACAACATTGCAATTTTCAGGAAATTCGCTCCTCGCTGCTGTGTATGTCAACTTCCAATTATGCCTGAACCTGGTCAAGATGAAACAGTGAGAGTAGTGGCTCTTGACAGGAGCTTCCATATTTCTTGCTATAAATGTGAAGTAAGTAAGATTTGATTGATCAAGAATGATAAGTAAGATAAATAAATAATGTTGGAACTTGGTAACTTAAAATTGATAGTTATCTGATGATTAATCTCTTAATGGTAGTTGGATGTCGGTTTGTAGATATAGGTGGTTGTGTGACTACCTTCAGAATATCTTCGGTTCAAATCAGTAAAGGTGGCCAGCAAATCTATCAGATGACATCCATAACCATAGCACATAAACATAATCTTATCAATTATATATGCACTAGTCTATTCTTCATCAATTCGTACTTATTCCCACATATTTAGATTTTCTTGAACTTTGGGTCAAATGTTCCTTGAAGTCTTGAAAAAAGAATATATGGGTACGGATTGGTATTTTCAATTCCAATCCAAAATGGTTGTTTTAATAAATTGATGTTCAAAGCGATGGATATTGAACTGACTAAAATAATCCTAAAAATAAAATAATCCTATCTAAATAATCCTGTCAGTTCACTTAACCACATGTTTCTTCACAGCTGATACGATAATGGTTTGATTCCGTTTGGATGAATGGACTGGTCATGTATGGCCACCTTGATCAATTGTGTAATAAGTTTAGTGATTACATATTTATGATTTTTACTTTCATTTACTTATATATGTAATATATAATATGGGAAAGTATTGCGATCGTGAACATTTTCAAATCTGAGTTTTCAACAGAAATATATGTTTTGATGTACTCCAAGTCTAAATAATCAAGTCACGTAAAATGGTCTGTGTGTGTGTGAACAGTTTTATCACAAAAACGAAAAGTCCTACAGAACTGAAATTGTGTATTTAAGGTTTGTACATGCTTGGGATCTTTCTGTAACTTTTCCATCAAAATCGGCTTACCTGGAGATGCCATTTTATTACATTGATTTTGATTAAATTCATTAAATCAGTGTAAAATTAAGTGGTTTTTAATATAATTTAGGTCTTATTCTTATTGAATTTTGCTAACAGGGCTTAAATAAACGTCTAATTTTCAAAATTTCTTTCTCTAAAGTATGTTTAATTTTTTTAATTTAAAATAATGAACCATTTCACATTGGTAGCTGATATAAAAAATAGTTAAATATAATTAATGAAGACAATTTATTGGTAAAAATAGAAAAATAATGGTTGGAAGCTATACGGAAACAGCCGAGAGCGCCTGACCTTTCCCAAATGCCTCTTTTTACAGATATCCGATATTGCTGTGTACAGGACTTTCATATTCTTAGTTAAACCTAATAATATACAATATTTACTAATTCTTTTGATGAGTTTCATGATATCTGAGTTTCCAATAAAATTGAATTTTTCTAAAAGATCTATTTTTCCCCACAATCATTAGTATTGTTTGGTACTATAAACAGTCATAAAAGGAATTTGAAAATGGTACAAATGTATAAATTTAATAGATTCGATGGACAGGAAAAACACCGCTACTGTTAATACAGAAGGTCAAATATAAAAATTGAGTTTTTTTATAAAAACAACTTAAAAACTGATTATTCCTTTATAATTTATTAGTATAATTTCATATTTTATTTCTCTATTCTATTTTCTATAGTAGCAGACTATTACTGTTTCTTGCTGTTGCAGTCTACAAAATTTCACCTTTAGCATAAATATAATTAACATAGAAAACTGATTCATACAACAGTATATATATATATATATATATATATATATATATATATATATATATATATATATATAAAATACCTATTTACTCTAAGGTAGGTAAGTGAAAGTTGTGTAATGCACGCACCACACCAGATTTTTTTTTTTATCTCTAATTCCGTTCTTGTCAAAGTTTGATGTGTCTTACACATTAAATTACCTTAAATTATGCAGCATGTTTCAAGTATTATTTCTGTTGGATTAAATTATTTTTTTCATGAAAATTTAATTATCGGTTCCAATAATATCATGAGACCAAAAATATACATGGTTTGTTATGGCTAATGAAGAAAAAACAAAATTATTTAAAGAATTCGTCTATTGACACAATAATATTTATTAATACTATGATTTAAAATAAGATTTATTAATTTTAATGTTAAAATGATTTTCCATTATTCTGTACTAAACGTGATTCAATTTAACAGGATTGTGGTTTGGTACTATCATCGGAAACGGAAGGAAGAGGATGTTACCCACTCGATGACCATGTCCTGTGCAAGAGCTGCAACGCCAAGAGGGTCCAGGCCCTCACTTTTCACATGACAACTGACCTCTAGTCTCGTTGAGTCATTATCGACGGCTGTGACCATCAATACGCACACATCTTTTTAATAATTTTACTGTCCTAACTATAACAGGCATAACTTTGAATTTTGGGACTTTTTTTTAGTACTCGAAGAAGTTTTTAGTTTGTAAATTTATACTGGATTTGTGATTTAATTAAATTAATTTTGTAATCGCTTAGACGAGATTTGATAGCATTAATTCCAGAATTATTACTATTGTGTAACAGTGCCAATTACTATAAGACTACTCTTACTTATTATCTGTACGATTTCGACCATTTGGGAATACAAATCTTTGTCAAGAATTATATGGCAACTTTTCTATATTAGAAAATAAGAAATTGTACTTTAAAGTTTTTACCAAAAAGCTGTAAATGGTTTTTATTATTATTATTATTTTTTAAAAATAATTATAAAGATTCTAAATCCAGCTTAGGTATATTTTTAATTGTCTTTCATTTTTAGTCATTCTTGATATTTGAATTAATATTATGTGACTTGATAGCCACTTTTATAAATTTTTGCTTTTTTATATTTTATCATTGTTATCTATTTCTACGAATTTGGGAACTTATTGCATCCCCAAATATATATTAAGTCTTTAGTTTGTTTAAATTTTTTACTCGAACAAATAGCTTTTCTATATTCTTTTACTCCAAACCATGATTCTGTACGTCAGAGGAAAACCACCATCATATGTGAATTATTTTTCATTTTTGAGATTTTTATCTTAAGTGGCTCATTTTTTATGAATCTTCATTGAGGAAAAGTATCCTATATGAAAAAAAAAAATCCTACATCTTATTTTGCGTGTAGGATAGTTTGCCTCGTGACGTACAGAATTATAGTTATAATTAATTTTTTTAGGTAGTTGAATTTTGTTTTTTAATATTTTAAAGACATTCACAGTGATCTCTCTTTAAATTAAAAAAAAAATTGTTTTTTATAACCGTAATGTAATAAATTTTTGACAGTCTATGCGCTCATGTTAAAGCCTTTTGTACTCCGGTTTCAATTCTTGGATAGATAGTTAATATACATTTGCCTAAGAATATTATTTTAAGGTCATTTGATTTTTTTACTCACTTAAATTATTGATGTTATAAAGAATATTTTAGTTACTTCTAGTTATTTATGTATTATATAGTGTTTTTTTTTTTTTTATTAACATTCCAAAATAATTTATTGTTAAAATGCTATGGTGTAAGATGCTGTTCCTTTTTTTTATATTGCCATTTATAATTAATTTATTTTAAAATGTATAAATTAGTTATAAGGTATGTAATTGCTCATTATTTTTAAATTAGAAATTTTGATGAAATATTTGTATATTTTAGCATTTCTTTTTTCAATATAGAAGAGATATTTTATGATTAGTTTTTAAATGTACTCGTTTAGGCTGCATTACAAATACTTTTCACTATTGAATGAATAAGTGGTTTTATTTTTAGTAATTTTCTAAATTCAGCGAAAATTTTTGGGATGAAGTATATCTCACCTTCATTAATCCTCTGTAATTATTGAGGGCTTAGTGCCATTAAATTGATCATACTGTTTACTCGTATTTTCTTTTATCCATCATTTTCAAGAAAGGGTTGGGAAACAGAAATTATTAATCATAAGTATTCTATTTTATTACTATCTTAAATTAAATTTTTTAAAAAATTTGTTAATCAAAGAAATAAAACAACAAACATCATTAGTGCAATGAAAAAAAAAAAAGATCAATATTTATATGGTACTAAAACGTAAAATTTTCAGGAAACTTTTATCTGATATAGAAACGTGTAATATTATTTTGATTTGTCAACATATTTATTGTATCACTTTTCTAGATATAGACGTCTTTAGAGAGTGGGGAAAGAAAATGTTTTTTGGGCTTATGTTAATATAAAATTAAATTTAATAATGTATGAACTTATCAAGTATGTACGCTGGTTTGCTTGTTTTTGCTTTAAGTGGTGAAACATTAAGTTCAACAATGTCTTAGTACACTGATCAACAGAATTTTAAATAAGAGAAAGTTAATAAGTAATAGTAAATTTTATTTTAAAAATGCTTTTCTTCTGTTGATTTTTTTTTTCTTTCGAATGGCCTTAAACTCGCTATCATAAGTTATGGCCTAAATACCCATATTAGTTTTATTATTGACTAAATATTATTGTTTAGAAAATAATTATTTAATAAACTAGATACTTGATATTGAACAAATTTTATTTTTGTAAATTAATATGAGAGTTGTTATTATGTAATATACTGTTCCTTGGCAGTGATATCTTTTTATATTTGAGCTTGTGATTTAAATAGTCTTGGGTGACATTGGCATAATGTTTATAGAATGTCTAAATAGCTCTTAAAAATTTTGATCTTTACATTTATTGTAGCACTTGAAATATATTACTATTAAGCATATTTTGCTTGGCATTACTGATTACATTCTTGTGTTACAGTTACCTTTCTTTAATGCCTAACAATGACGAAAGTTTTTTAAGACGAGAGCATTTTTTAAAATTTTCTATATGTTTATATATATATATGCAGATGTGGAGGAAAAATATCAACTGTGGAGTTGTCTCCTCATAACTGTCAGAGGTGCTACACCACTTATATTTATGGTTTATGTTCCATGAAATTACTGTAAATATAAAGTGAATATTTAGTGAAAATATGTAATATTATATTATATTGTCCATATATATATATGTAATATTATATTGTTCATATAAATATAATAAAAACATTTTGTTTTATTATTCCCTTGTACATTTTAATTTAAGGAGATTATGTAGGATTTCACTTTCTGAATAATTGAAAGTAAAGGAAGCTTAGTATTAGTTGATCTTTTAATTTTAAATTTTTAGAATTCTATAATCTTCCCACCTTCACCTTCGGTCAACCTGTCGGACACTTGCCAGTTGGCACATACTAACTGTTTAGGAATTCTTTCATTACTAAGCCCAGCGATATACCCATTTTATTTGTATCAATTTAATCATCTCAACTATATTAACCGGATACAATGCGCACAATTCAGCATTGTGTAACCTCCTAAATTCTCTGCTTGATTCGTCCTTCTTCGGTCGGTATTCTGCTCAATACTTTATTTTCAAAAACCTTAAGATATCGCTCATCCCTTAATGTAAGTGGCCATGTTTCGCATTCATAAAGAACCGTTGGAAGAATAATGTGACATTCTATCTTGATCCACCTACTAACAAATGTGCCAGTTTTGAAGTCTAGTGAAATGTTCGATTGAGTTATTTCTATTTGAAAGAAAAACTAAAACTGTGAGTATGATTTGCTAGTCCCCTCCTCCAAATGAAATACTGATATTATGCCAAGGATTCTTCTTTCATGGTACCTGAGCATGTCAGGAATTTATATTTATAACAAAACAGATTTGTGAAATAAGTTGGATTTTTGGGAGTTGAGATAAGAACTCAGTTCTTGTTCTGTTGTGGCTGTCAGCGTGCTGCCTGATTTTAGGTGCCAATGCTCAATTTAAAACAAAACTGAAAAGATTCCCATTATTTGTTTTAAAAAACAGGGATCGAAACATTTAGAATAAACAGAAGCCATTATAGTTTATTAAAGTGTAGTTTAGTTACCTATTATAATAAATTTACATGGACTCAGAGTGGGGCTCCATCATTCTAAGGCTGTAGAAAAGTACAAAACATTTATGTTTTGGGGTACTAGAAAAACATTTATCAATTATTTGGGGGCTCTAAGAGGCACCCCTAATCATTTTTACATTTTACGGTGTTAAAAAAATTAAAAAAACATATTCGGGGCTCATTGGAGGAGCTCCAAAAAATTCAGAAATGAATGTATACAAGACAAAAGTTTGGGTTAAAACATACCACAGTACTAGAAAAATACAAATAACAAAATTCAGGACCCCCAGAAGGCCCCCCTCCCCAATCATTGTATGGCTATAAAAAAGTACAACCTATTACGTTAGGGGCCCCAAAAATTTGCTGAAATAAATTAATACAAAACAATTATTTTTGGGGTTCTAGAAAAATATTAAGCCACTGACAGATCCAGGATTGAATTTGAGGGTGGAGGGGCTTCAGCGGGAAAGATTTTTTTTGGATGTATATATTAGGATAATTACTTCGGAAAAAATAAAGAAATTAACTACCCATATGAAATGGTGTTAAAGTGTTTTTTTAAGTCCTTTTAAATGTGATTAGAAGAACAGTAATACTTTTAGAGATAATGTTTTTCATAAAACATGGTTATATTTTACCATTCGGGGGGGAGGAGGAGTTTCAGCCCGAACAAAAGGGGAACATTTTGAGTTATTTATTTTTTGTTTTACTCTCTATCGCAGGCGGATTTACGGGGGGGGGGGAGCTTTCGGGCTGAAGCCCTCCCCCCAAAATGGTAAAATATAACCATGTTTTATAGAAAAAAATATTAAAAACCATGTCTTAAAGTATTATTGTTCATGTAATTACATTCAATATGACTTCAAGAATCACTAACACACCATGCCATATGGGTAGTTAGTTTATTTCTTTCTTTTTTCAAATTAATTATCGTTATATATATGAAAAAAAAAATCCTTCGGGCTGAAGCCCCCCCCCAAAATTAAATTCTGCATCCGCTACTGCTCTCTATAGATATATATTTTATTTTCTAATAAAGTTTTTGAAAAAAATAATCTTTCTGTTGAAATCTATATATATTTCCTTATAGCAATATTTATGACAGGACTAGGTATATATATAACGATTATTACTTTGAAAGAAGAAAAAAGATCCTAATTACCTGTATGAATTGAAGTTTTAGTGATTCTTGAAAACCAATTAAATGTAATTACACAAACAATAATACTTTTAGAGATGACTTTTTAATATTTTTTTCATAAGTCATGCTTATATTTTACCATTTGGGAGGAGGGGAGGGAAAGAGTTCAGCCTGAAAACCCCCCATAGATCCGCCGGTGCTCCTAGGTACTCTAATGGGAGGACTCAATGCCT